CCCCATGCTCTGAAAACGATTCCTGAGGCAGCACTGGGGTAGTTAAAACATCAGACTTTGAAGCTAGACAGGCCTGGGTTTGGATCCTAGCTTCGGTTCTTGTTACATGTGTGTTCCTTTCTAAAAATTAATTATTATTTTTAATTGTAAGAGGATGTATTTGCTTTCCAAAGAGAGACAGAGATGTGGGGGGTGGGCATAGAGGGAGAAGAAGAAGGCACTCCTCAATGGGGTGTGATCACCCTACAATCCCTTCTCCCTCATTTTTTCATCCTGTCAGGGCTGGGTACATCTGGCCTGTTTTTCAAGCCACCAGGTCCTGAACTTGAACTGTAGCCAGCCATCTGGGATTTGGTTTCCCTTAACCACTAGTCAATGGGGCCAGTCCCACATATATGTTCCGGACAATGGTGTCTAACTCCTCTGAACCTCAGTTTCACCCTTTGGACAAAGCGGGGAGGGTGGTAATTTTCCCCGAAGGGTTGCATTGAGGAGCAAATGTATAGCCCTCATCACACCTAGGTCCACAGGACAGGGTCTCTGAGTTCTGGGCTGCTCTGGTCAGTCTTGGCCCTGCCAGAATGGGCCACATGGTGAGGGAATCTCAGCAGTGAGGGAGGGCTGCACGCCCCTCCCCTGCTCTGCTGGCGCCCCGGTCTTTTTGTTCTCTCAGCAGCTTTCCCTTGAGATGAATGGCATTTCCAGAGGCTTCACCTCTGATAAGTGTTCCTCTGCAGCCGCAGCCTGAATCTTAATGCACGCACTCTAATTTAATGGCCATCTCAGCTGACTATTAACACGCTCTTCTCTGGTGAGGAGGGCTTGCTCCACCAGCCTGCTCTGCATTCTCCATGCTGGCTGGGTGACTCCAGAGAGCTCAGAGTAGAATGTCTCTGGACCTCTAACCTTCTTGACTTTCTAAAGTACAAAGAGCTGGACATTTTCTCCCCTGTTTGTGGGACTCCAGAAGACTTGGGAGACAAGCAAAAGAGGTTGCTTCTTGTTGATTCCCTGCATTCCAATGGTATCGTGGATCGACCACGTTGGATCCTGTGGATGCTGTTTTCTGCGTGGTGGCAGACCAGGCACGCATTTGCACACTGTAAACATAAACACGCACACAGGGAAGAGATTGGGATAAACTTTAAAGACACCAGAGTATAGAGCAGAGAGATTTTTTAAGACTAGAAAGTTTAATCCGTTCACTGTAAGTAAGTGAATAGGTGCAGTGTAATAGTAGGTATACCCAACAACCCCCACCCCCCAATTTTTCTTTGGCTAACAGCCCCTCTCAAACATATATTAATTGCGGGAACTACCAGGTTCTTTCTTTTATTTTCCTGCCATCTGGTTGACCTCCCAGGAATGAACCCCTGACGAGCCTAGGCCAATGTGAGTGTCCTAAGAGTTTAGATGTGGGAAGTAAGTTCTGGACAGATGACAGAAGTTGTAAGATATAGAACTCCATAGCTATAGGTGAACGTATTTTCCACTGTGCAGAGAAATCTGCAGAGAGAATAAGTCTGACTTGCTAAGAGAAGCTGAAAAGGGAGGAGAGGAGAGAGATATTGAGGGGAGAGAAAGAGAATGAAGGTAGAGATAGAGGAAGAGAGAGAAAGAGAGGAGAGAGAGAACTCCATTGGATAGTGCTACATTTGAAAAAGAGATTCCCCCTAGCTCCAAGTCTGAACCTATCTTTGCTCTTTTCAACTTTTTGTTGCTCAATTCTTAGGATATTTTTTTTTTTTTTTTTTTTTTTTGTGGTAAGGTTTTTGTCATAGGGCACAAGCGCTCACCGGAGAGAAACAGAGACAATGAGAGGTAAAGTGAGAACTCACTCCCCTGGAGAGATGGCCACACTGCAAGCCCTTCTCCTCCATTCTCCTAATAGAATTTTGGAGATGCTCACACACACAATGGCCATGATTTTCAAGCCTCCAGGTTCCGGACTCAAACTCCAGGGAGCCCTGTAGGAGTCCAGTGCCACAACCATACGCCACCTGCTGGCACCTCCGGGATAGTTTTAAGCCAATAATTTCCCATTTTGCCCAAGTTAGTTTGATCTAAGATTCTATCCCTTGCAACTGGACTACGTTTTAAGGGGACTGGCCTTTATTTCAGATACGTTGTCACTAAGATATGGTGAATATTAAAAAGCTATTTCTTTATGGAGTTTCCAATTCCTTGGCTACTGAAACTTAAAAATTTCCCTCAATTTACCAAACTGCATATAAAAATAAGATTTCCGTAAGATGAATACACAAATATTGCTAGTGCTGAACCCCTAACTAATAGTAACTGTGATAGTTACTTTGGTTCACTTTATATCAACTTGACAGGGCTAAGTGATGCCCAGATAGCTGATAAAACATTGCTTCTGAGTGTGTCTGTGAGGGTGTTTCCAGAAGAGATCAGCATTTGTATCAGTAGACTGAGTAAAGAAGCTCTTGCCCTCACCACTGTGTTGGGCATCATCTAATCCATTGAGAGATCAGATAAAACAAAAATATAGAGAAAGGGTGAATTGCTTCATCCTCTTTTATTAAGTTTTTAATTTATTTATATTTTTTTCTTGCCACAGGGTGTGTGTGTGCTCACCAGAGAGACATACACACACACAGAGACAATGAGAGGAAAAGTGAGAAATCACCCCCTGGCAGGATGACCACACTACAATCTCTTCCATTTTCCTTCTGGGACTTGGGGCATGTGCCCACAAGTGTCTGGTGTGATTGTCAAGCTGCCAGGTCTGGGACTTGAACCACAGTTGGCCATGTGGGAGTCCAGTGCCATAGCCACTATGCAACCTGCTGGCCCCTTGCTTCCTCTTCTTGAACGTACATCTATCTTCTCAACCAGAACACCTGGTTCTCTGGCTTTTAGATTCAGACCGAATCTTGCACCTTTGGCCTCTTTGATCATTAGGCCTTTGGACTCAGACTGATCTATACCATCAGCATTCCTGTTTCTCCAGCTTGCAGACTGTGGATAAAGGGACTTCTTGGCCTCCATGACTATGTGACCCAATGCCTACGATATATCTCTGCTTTATATAGTCGTATGTTGATTCTGGAGAACCTAACACTATAACTTCTTACTCTAAAAAGTGCCCCAAGAGCATCATGGCCAGCCTCGACTGCTCTGGCTATTGGCTTTCATGAGTCCAAGCTCTGCCCACTGCCATCATCAACCTCTTCTCCAGGTTGAAGCTGCTCTAGGTAAAAAGGCACTTTCTCTTCCCACACTGGCCTCTACCATTCTAGATGCAGCTCCTCGCTGTCACCAATTTCAGTGGCCAACGTTCTCTTTCAAAGTGAGGTTTTGATAAAACAAACAAAAGCACAAAACCTTATAATCAATGCCAGAGTTGAGTCTGGGACAAAGACATCAGGAATCTTTCATTTTCTGTGTAACCTCCAAGGGGCTGTTTACATAGTTTGGGTTCTATTCTGCAGGCTATCTCCTTGGCCACCCAGCAGGCCCACTTTCACTTTTGCTCAGACGGTGGATCCTCGCTACTCTTTCTTTTTCTTTTTCTTTTTCAAAAATTTGCTAGAAAGCATATTTGACGACTGCAGCGAGCTGTATGGGCACAGCTGGGTACTACTTTATAGTATGTTCACTCTACTCACTGGGGTTTATGCCTAAAGTCGGACTTGGGTTCATGTATAGGTATGTGTCAGCTGTGCTAGCTATTGGATATATTTAGACTAATTAAGTTCATTGGCAGAACAATTGAATGGGGGGGAGGCATGGAGGACAACCATGGATGCCAGGGACAGTGGGGGAGGAGGATGGGACATAGCAGAGGGTGGGGGATGGGGAATCAAGGATGGCAAAACAAAAGGCAAGGTATGCAGGACATAAGAATTGGGAAATTATTTGCTGAGAACATGTATGTTGATGTGCTTGATTGAGCCAATGCACAGTGTATTTTGGATGGAAAATTCATTTGTGTGTTGTGATGGTGTAAAGTGAATTAATGTAGAAAATGAATAAATTAAAAAAAAAAAAAAGAAAGAAAACCTTTAAAAAAAAAAAATTGCTACAAGGTGCTTTCCAGTGAGAGATGGGGTGGGTGAGAAAGCATAGCCCCGTGGTGGGTGATCACACCACAATCCTGCCTCCTCCATTCCTTTGGGATTTGGAGCACACATGCACATGCACCCAGCATGTTTTTTGCCTACGTCTGGGACTCAAACCATGTAGTAGGCCATGTAGGATCCAGCAGCCTTACCCACCACACCACTAGCTGGTTCAAGCCTCTCTACTCTTGATGTTAAGTGGAAAAATATTTTGGAGAGAGTGCTTCTGTGACTGTCTCAGAAAAGTCAGTTGTGTGTTTAAAAATCCTTCTTGTTTGGAAGTTTTCCTCTGGGGTTATCTGTAAACCCATTCTTGCCCTT